CCATTATGACTGGAAGATCTGACTTATGTATTGCAGGGGTTTTTGGTGCTGGCAAAACGCGGTCCCTTGCGGTCCTGCTCATTGCCCTAAGCTGCGAACTGAATGACTTTGTTGCCATCGTCTACACTAAAGAGAATGTAGCTGCCAAAGCACTAGCGGATCAAGTGAGTGATCTTGCGCCCCCACAATCAAGAACTTCGGCAGGCTAATTGGACGCATGGAGGAGGGCAAAGGAGAGGCGTACGCCTCCAAAATTGACGTCCGATGTAGTGACCGTAATAGAATCATCTCACATAAGAATATACTCATCGCAACAGGTGGCTCAGCTACGGCGGAAATGGCGATGCGCTACTCCACTTTTGGCCATTGGATTTCTCGCACCTGGCTTGCCTTTATGGACGAAAGTCAACAGTATGGCAACTACCATGAGATTGCAGCTCTTGCTGCCATACAACAGCCAATGCTGACTGTCTTTATTGGAGACCACAGGCAAACTCCAGGAGGGCTATCCAAAGGCCGAGCAGCGGCTGTCAATCGACGTAAACTGTTGCAACGGCCGTTGGGGCTCCGAGCACTTGATAAGTCCGGCGACTATTTTCCACCAGCACGAATGGCAGCCCTCGTAGCTCAGCTGTGGCCTGATGCGAGCCAAGATCCGGAGTCAGAGCTCTTCAGTCTGCTGAGACTTGCAAACAAGCCGCACAGTGGCCCATGGACATCCACTCCGCAAGATTACGAGCTGCCTGTCGCCCTAAGGCGGGTGTTCCACTGCCGAATTTCGTGCCAGTTGGATGCACACAGCAGCCTCATTGCAGCGGTGCTCGCAGTCTTGCTGATTGCCACAGCACCAGAGGAGTTTGGGGTACCTGCGTGCACCACGACCCTTGAAGCAGCTGGACTCTGTGGTCCTCATCGATGGGGCATCATTCTCCCTAACAGCTCACGAGTTTCAATGCTGACCTACCAAGCCATCGTTGCAGTTCGATATCCGGAGTTAGTCCTCCATGAGTCCAACCATATCTACATTGGCCATTTCGTGCCACATGAGTCCACTGTAGCCATTGGAGGCTTCCGCACAGTATTGTGGAAAGCCCCTAAGGATCTCAGGTCTGCAGTTGAGGATGTGGTTGCCTTCTGTACCTACCTGAAGAATTATTATCGTAACTTGCAACAGGGAGCGACCTCGCAGCTGCTTGTCTTATGCAACCGTACGGCTGTACATAATTTGCTACTCCAACATGGCTTTCAGACCGAGTGGTATGGTGGGCTGCGAGTTTCCACCACCTCCTCTGCTGCAGGAGCGACAGCACGCATTGCTGTCATTGTTCAAACAGGGGTAGGCTTTCTCAGTGGAGGACGGAGAGATTCAACAGCAGACGAGCGCGAGGACTGCTATGGAAGGGCAACTGTAGCGCTGACAAGAGCCATTGACCATACCTATATTGTCTCGCCTCTTGACATGGCAGGCATGATTGGAATGGCCCAGACAATAGGGGTTTACCATTACGGATACTTCACGTTGAAAGCCCGTGACATTCAGTACCATGGCCCTACAAACTACCCCAGCGACAGATGTGCCATACTGGACTGGGGATTATCGGTACCCTTTACTCCCCAAGATAAACCGCCCCTTGCTATTGCCATGATAGTGACCACCAATGGCACACGAGCGTGGAGACGATATCGGCTGGTAGTGGCATGCAGAGACAGGCTACGGCTTCCCCCTAATGTCCTCGCAGCGCTAGAGTCCCGCACACGTGACCATGTGCTGACGACCAGCGGATTTTTCCCCTGCTCAATTGATCGTGAGTACCTATATGGTTACGCCGCTGATGGTTACAGATCTCCCCTCTGGCTGTGTGCAGCTTACAATGGGTCCCCAGCCCTCGTTCATCGACACAGAGGTCACAAGGTTTTCTTTCATGCTGGTATACAGGATCGACAACTCGTGGTAATCCCTGGTATCCATTATTTTGATGCCCATCGGTTGCAACCTGAGCTTTTGGCCACACTAGATCGCCAATTTGATCCAGGCACTATGAAACTTGCAAGCCCGGAGGGTGCAAGAGACACAGTGAGTGACCCCTCCTCGGATGAAGAAGCAGCCTCTACCGATGGAGAAAGTGATCCAGAAGACCCTACCATCTCATGGTGTCCACCCATACCTGAAGCAGCTGAAGATCCCTCTGAGGACGAGATCTTGAGCGCAGCTGATAAGCTAGCAATGTTAATTGACAATATCCAACCTGACGGAAACCCATTCTGCATACCAGAAAACCTTGGCATTCTCCCGCCGCTGTGGCTCCAGGCGAGACTGACGTTGTCTTTGATTGCCATCCAAGAAAAGTTTGCGCGCGTCTTGCTGAGTGTGGCCGGTGAACTGTGGTTGCGCGGGCAAGGTGCCAAGGTGGAGGATGTCCTTATGCAAACAGCTAGGGCTCTCACAATTCGATTGGCAGAGAAGCTCGCCCAGGCGATGAGCTCGTTGATGAGATTGGCTGAATCCATGGTGGCTCCAGAAACTGAATGCCTTTTGTATGCCACTTACTGGTTTCGGCCCATCCTGTCTGAACTCATTGGCTCAGCCCGCGAGAGCTCTGAAGTGAATCGGAGTCGAGCGCCGAGTGGCCCTGTGAAAGTCCTAGTCACAGGTCGACCGCATCGGCGCACTACTGGGTTAGTGGACCTTACGAGTGGCGCCTCTGCCCTCTTGGCATGGTTTCCGGCTAGTTGGGCCAGTAAAATTGCTCCCAAACTCCTCGAGAATGCACCTGAGAATGCACAGAAACCTCAAGAAATCAACATCACGTGCCCGAAACGTTCCTATGACGAGACTCCCGTGGAAGGAGAAAAGCAGCTGCTCCAAGCAGTTAAATTTGTTGCTAAAAATTTGCCTGGTTTTCACCTGGGGTTGGATGAAGACTTTCAAATGGCTGGAAGCTTCCAGGAGCTCATCAATGGCTACACCACAGGGCTCGTCGAACCATGTATGCTGCGAGGTCTCCAACCCCTTGGATCGAATCGTACTACTCTTGAAGTGATTATTCCCTCTCCAGAAGGGCTTACCCCTGAAAAATGGAAAGAAACAGCCACACTGTGCCCACTTGACTGGCCTTCCAACTACAGTCTTTTACTATTGTGGCATATGAATGGGAGCCTTCATCAAACAGAGGCGCGACTCAGGAAGCAACTGTCACACAGCCACATGTTTGCTGAGTGGACAGTCCATCTCGACAGATTTGCGGAGCGAGTTTTATTCCAGCAGCCAGCAGTCTATATAGCGGAACATGCCTTGCAAACCAACCTGCGGAAACGAAACTTCCCAGACAGGCGAGTCCGCCGGAGGGTCCCTCCGGAAGATCTGGATGAACATCGAAGGGCGCTCAGAGCGCTTCATCAGCGTGCTACTGCCCAGCAAGCAGTGAACCCAATTTCATTTGGGCTCACCAATGAATGGTATGACACCATTACAGCAGACAAAAAACACCATCTGGAACATTTCACGAGAGGTATGACATGATCCCCAGCTCAACCCCCCAGTGTCACACTTTCTTTCGTGTGTCCACCCCCTCTCCCCCCTCCCCTTATCTCTTTTCTGTTTCACTCTGGGTTTTCACCCTTTGGTTGGCTTTTGTTTCATCAATCACGGTGGTGGAAGATGCCTTACGTGTCTAATTGGTTCAATTGTCACATCTACTTAAGTTTACTGCTCATACGCAGTGTGTCTGTCCAAAGACGTGACAGGTGCACTGGTATGCAGCAGGAGACACAGTTTCCCCATTTATAATTGTTAGGCTCATCATGCGACACATGCCTGGCTCCAACCAACCCAGATCTCTCCATCAGTTGGGAGCCACAGTTGGCTTTGTGTGCGAGTGCCAGCTTAGGCATAACAGATCGGGCCGCATGGCTTCGGTAATACCCGCTTTCTGAATGTGCTGTCCCGTCGAGAGCTTAGCTTGTACTAAGGTTGCCTCTGCCATGAAGCCTAGTGCACGCACTCGCTTTCTCGCAGGCTTTGCCTGACAATCATCGATGGGTGAAGAGGCTGTTGTTGTCCCCAGATGTAGTCTTGATTAGCCACCCACTCCCCCACCCTTTCCACCAACCAAGGCATTTGAATTCGATGACTCATCCATAGTTTTTGCCATCCGCAGAGCTTCATTAGGTGTTGGTGCCTTTTTCTGTCCCTTTCGGTTTGTGGTTACTGTTCCCTGCCTGACGTGACCCTCACTCCCCCTCGGATGTTCCTCCTTGGCGCCTTGGTCCAGGTTTTACTGGTCCCTCCCTCTGGGTATCGTTGCTGAGCTTTTTTGCTTGCACCCTCGAAGTGGCCCTTTGTGATTTTGTTGGTGGTTTGGTTGTTGATTTTTTATTTATGGGCCGGCGAACATGACACATAAGCTGTCATCTGCATGTGCCGAGACGATACTAAGCTATCACATCTCGCTTCAACAGAACTGTTTCACCCATAAACTGGAACCCGTCACGTCACTGTTGTGCGGTTGTGTGGTTGTTTGTGTTTTGTGTGGGTTGTTTTTTGTTTGTTTTTTGTTTGGGTTTGTTTTTGGTGTGTTTTTTGCTTTCTGTTCTTTGTGTTTCGGTTTTTGCTCTCGAAATGTGACAAGGGATTTGGACTATGTATCGGTCCTCTACCAGTTTACTTTTGCGGCCATTACAGCTTCGGCCCCTGCACGAGTCAATTAATTAATCTCATTTGCAACATGCTTGGAAACATGTTGAACGACCTGGCGGAAGCCATACGGCGTTGGACGGAAAAAAATCAGTGGACTGGCCTGCCTTGGCGACGCCAAGCATGTCCGCCACATCCGACGTCAGTGGAACCCATAGATGCGGAGGAACTCCTGCGAAGGGCAGGATGGAAGGAAGAGTGGAGAGAGTGAGGGAGAAGCAACGGCTGCGGCGGGAGAACGCAAGGTACTAAGAGTTACTAAGGCATCTCGCGGTCGCATGAAAATGTTCATGGCGACCAACGAATACTAACAAACACATGATGGACATATAGTTTCTTCACACCCGAGCCATGTGGCAACACTGTCCTCGCCTGAAGGCAATGGGTAATCTTCTGGAACGTCTTCGTGGGGCTGAATGGGGCGGCCACTGCAAATGAGAAACCTTTCCTTCGTGGCTGCATGGTGACTGCCCGTTTCAGAGCGTTCCATGGGCACATAAGTGGACGGATGCATGTTCCCCACCACGCCAAGCGAGATGCCGTTGCCAGAAGTGTCCCCACAGCTTCCACTGGTTCTGGTTGCACGGGCTGCAGACAGAAATTGAAGGAGTTTGTTCAAGGCACTCTGGTGCGGGTTGACCTTGGAGCTTGCCTTTGAAGACTTGCTACCTTCTTCTGACAAAAGCCCGAATGCAGTTAGGAAGTCATAGGTCTCATCCAAGTTGCACAGAACACCCAACCATTGCCGCCCTTGCCACATCTCTGGATCACCTGGGAGGTTGCCGGAATGCTTGACCTGCTTGAAGTCACTGGCACACCAGTGGAACTACTCTTCAGGAGTCGCGCTTGCAATTGCTGCAGACAGCACCACACCTTTCGGTCTGACAGGGTCGATATGTTACGAAATCATGCAGAACACTTGCGCTGATACATTGTTTGAAAAGGCACAGCACATGTACAGCATGCAATTCTAGCTGAGCTGGGAGCCGCGTCTGCCCACCACTGCATCCGGAGCCTGCCGCTGTTCTGCCTCCACTTGCTCTTGGATGGCTTTGCTCACTTGGTTCTGCAGAATCTTGTCCAACTCTCGAGTGATGGAATCTGCAAAACTTGTCACGCTGCTCTTTCTGGTCAGTGAGTAGTTCACATTGATGGTGAAAGCGACGAGCGGGCTTGGGCTTGTTGGAAAGATGGACACCCGTGCTCCATTGGTGAGAGGACACATCAACGACAGCATGTTGAGCATGTAGGGTGGGATGCCTGCACTGCCCAAGTCTGACAGAACTGTTGCCCAAGCTGGCTCAGCAAGCGGCAAGGGTCCCACGTTTTGTCTACCGTGTCCCAAATGGATTTCATGGCTGCCAAGTATTGCCGGTCGACTTCCCGGCCCATGTTCTGACAAAGCTAGCTGCTAGTTTAATACCCAGAGCCTTTCCGCTGCAACAACAAAATCTCATGAAAGCTTGGAAAAAGAGAATCCCATGAAAGCACAGCTCATGTGGCACTCATGTGGGGAGCAGCCCCACTGCCCGGCGCACCCAGTCCTGGATGATGTTGGCAACCTCGGAGTCATCTGTGAAGTGGTGGGAACAAAAACTTTTTCCCAATCGCGGTGTGCATGGACAGGTGTGCCGCAAAGTTTGGCCCAAAGCGGGCGACCTCAAAGCTCCTGCCAGCAATGAAGCACACACGGCACGTCTGTTCTTTGCATTCCCATCCATGACGAGGACATCGCATCGCATGCGAGCTGCTCGTGCCTTGTCCATCGCTTCCTTTGTGAAGTAAGGTTCCAGCAACTCGTCAATGTCCTTGCGAAGATCGATGGAAGGCGAAGCAGCAACGGGCTGCCCACACCCATAGGCCCTGAGCAAGAGACGCCATTTGAACCAACCTTCGCTGATCAAAAGTCGCAGTCTTGCAGTGGGGAGAAGGTGTTCTTGCCCGCAGGCACGGTCATGCTCCCGGACAACATCGCTTTCGCCGATGAAACTCGCATGCTGCCGAACTAATCTTGCATGGAATTGTTGAAGCCATGCAATGGAGAAGCCAAATGATGAAGTAAGCATAAAATATGGCATAAAACATCTGAGTTCACGCGGGCAGCCGGTAAAGATATGCTTTCCTGACTCCACATTGTAGTTGTGCCACATAAGCACACTGCACCTTTGACAAGTTCTATTGCGGCACCTCACTGGAATGTGGTGTTTGGAAATTGGCCCTGCCGTATGCAGAATTACCGCCTGTGTCTTCAAAGAGTCGCACCTGCTGAGCACAGCATTGCACTCTGAGCAATGTTGCTGAAGAGGTAGCAGATGCTGCAAATCAGTTTCCGCTCCGAAAAGAGGCAGCAAATAGCCAATTTCGGCTTGCAGTCGCTGAGCAATTCTGTGGTCAACTTCGGCCGGCACCTGCAAGGCCGGGTCCGCAGATTCTAAGATAGCTGCGAGGCACGCAAAGCCTTGCTCCATTGCCGATATCACAAATGGAGCTGCCGGAAGGAATGCTAAAGAGAAAGCTTGTGGGTTTCGATAACACTTGGACCTGTCCATGTCGATTGTACTTGGGCCTGATGTGTGCATGTTAATGGCAATCTGTGTGGGAACAGAGCTGGGCCTGCAGAAAGAACAGAGGCAAAAGTACAGTAAGGCAGTATAGTGGTGGCACAGAACCAGCAGGCACCTTATACGTGCATGGCCTCAGATTGTCGGATCATGCAGCATTTGAGTCAAGGACTGCAAGTGACATGTACATGGAGCACGTTCATTGGTTGATTGGTATAGAAGTTTTCGGGAAGAGTGACTCATGGCCCATGGTACCTTTCAGGTTCAGTTTTGCTCACAGTATGCTTCATTCATGCCCAACTCCGCCTAGCCGAGGCAGAAGAAAGAGGTGCATTTTGGTTCTGCTGTAGCAGCTGTACTGTACCCCCATTCCCTCTGTGATCACAATGTAAACGGCGGATCAGGATGGATCAGTGGGCTGGCAAGAAAATGATTTGTTGGATACCTGTTGTTCGACGACGATCCTGCAACCGCACCTGCCTAGGCGTGTAGACGTGACCATCGCAGGTGAGTGTGTGTGTGTGTGTGTCTAAGCGGAGTCTGTGGAGGCAATGTTCCACCGATCCGCTGATCCCGTGATCCGCTGATCCGATGATCCGCTGATCCGCTGATCCGCTGATCCGATGATCCGCTGATCCGCTGATCCGCTGATCCGATGATCCGCTGATCCGATGATCCGCTGATCCGATGATCCGCTGATCCGATGATCTCGCTGATCCGCTGATCCGATGATCCGCTGATCCGATGATCCGATGATCCGATGATCCGCTGATCCGATGATCTCGCTGATCCGCTGATCCGCTGATCCGATGATCCGATGATCCGCTGATCCGCTGATCCGATGATCCGCTGATCCGCTGATCCGCTGATCCGATGATCCGCTGATCCGCTGATCCGATGATCTCGCTGATCCGCTGATCCGCTGGTCCGATGATCCGATGATCCGCTGATCCGATGATCCGATGATGGCTGGGCAGCAGGATGATCATGAGTGCGCCGGAGGGCAGACGCCCCCACCGGTTCTTTCACTTCGTGGGGCCCTTGCTGCATGGTCATCAGAACTTGGACCTCTTGATCCATTGCAGTCTCTTCCTTCGCCTTCTTCTCGGCCAAGCGTTGACGTTTCTTCTCCTGTGCTCCCTCCGAGAAGTCTTCCTCTTGGGTGGCAAGGAGGTCTGCCTTGAGCTGGACCACCTGGATCACCTTGGTGAAAGATCACAGCTGAGTCTCGGCCCGGGCGATGGTCCTCCTTCTGGAAGATCTCGTCGGTCTCCACATGCTAAAGGTCCGAGAGAGTAATCTGATGTTGGAGCGTTGCATCCAACTTTTACAGGTTGTCATTGCAGCAGGGGGCCATGGGCATTTGGAACAACCCAGTTCGGCCATGAGTTGGGAAGAACCTGCGGTCCGAAGTTTCATAAGAACCAATTCATGCACCTGCAACTTGGTTTCCGCCTGTGGCTATGGCAAAGATTGGCACAAGAACTGGATGTTTGCCAGTACTTTTGCTGCATTGCAGGATATAGCTTTTCAATGCCCCCACCTTCAGGGCTCCCACCCTCCCACCAAACCATCCCAGGTACTGTGACGGAATCAGGTCAATTTTTGAGTCGTGAGACTGCTGAGTACCCAGCAGCATTGTGCCAAACTATTGCTCAAATCATCATGCCATTACTTTCCACCAATGGACATAATCTATCCGTTGATTCGGCATTGGACCTGATACCCATGAAAGATTATCTTTCACCGCCACTTGCCCGTCAGGATGGTGCTGGGTATGCCTCTCAGGGAGACTGGAGTTCTCCACACTCTTTCCCAGATGTGTCTCAGAGTTTACGGAAGAATTTCTTTGATCGCATTGTTGCACAGCACCTTGATAAAAGGATCATCGCTGCGTTTGCAAATCATGCCGAGCAAGCACCATTTTCAGAGGATAAATTGCAGCCTTTTCGTGCGTTGATAGACGAGTTCCTTCAGGCACAGGGCCTCTGCCCTGATTGGTCAGTACCATCAGGCCAACAAATCTGTCTCCATGCCCTATCCCGCCTGGTGCAGTGCATGGATGACCCAGATACAGCAACTTTTCCTTATTTAATCGATGGTGTACCCATAGGATCAGACACCCCTATGGTCCCATCCCGGTGCAGGGCCTCCGCAGAAGAAGCTCCTGAGATCGTCCAAGAGCTTATCAATAAGGAAATTGATGCGGGTTGGGTCCAACGTTTTGATGGGACTATTGATGAAGCACGGGAGTACTTTGCTGATGGTTTTGCGATAGGCAAATTGGGCCTGGCACTCTCAGATTCTAGGCCTCCACGCCTAGTCCTTGACAGCACGATCTGTGGGGTGAATCCCCAATGCGTGATGCCAGAACGCACTACATTGCCAACAATCAAAGATGTCATGCGGGCATACCCGTTGCGAGGGAAGCCCACAGGCCTTGCAGGGGCATCCTTTGATGTCCGTAGTGCTCATAAGCAAGTTGCTGTCAATAAGAAATATCATGGCCATCTTTGTTTTCAACACCAATCCAAATTATACTACTATACGGTATGTCCATTCGGAGCTGTTTTCAATGCTCATTTTTGGGCACGTTTGGGTGGAGTCTTTCTTCGATTATTTCATCGATTTTGTTGGTTGGCCCACTCGGGTTTCCTCTACGTTGACGATATGCTCATGCTCCAAGACAGTCAGGTCCTTCCAATTTCTACAGCTGCCATTGCCATCTTGTGTTTGCTTTTTCGCCTTCCTATCAGTTGGAAGAAATGTGAATTTGGGGCTACCATCACTTGGATTGGCTGGCAAATCCATATTAGGCTTCATTTGTATCCCATTTGCAAAACGACAGAAACTCATGGACTTGTTACGACGGTTGACATCCTCTCATCACAGCTTTGGCCTCACATGCGAACATGGTTGCATTTCTTGTACCGAGACCTGCACTCGATCCCAGCATCCCAGTATTCAGTTGACCCGGGGTCTTGGGAAGAAGTATGCAACTCCATTTCCGAGGATCTCAGATTTCATCGTCAACCCCGTTTCTCAGCCATTCCCATCAATGGACATTTAATCCAGGTGCGTCATACAACTGTTCAATCAAAAGCTGACCTCCAAGCTTGTCTATTGTTGGATAAACGTATTTGGTTGAGGATCAGGGATCCCAATTCCTCAAAACGTAAACTGTCCAGTGATTCCCATCGGATCCTCAAAATGTTTGCTAATTGGTTGGATACCCTTTCCCCCATTGTGTCTATGTGGCCCAAACCACTTTGGGATGGAATTTGTGTCGCAGACTCGTTCGCCAGTGGTGAGATTTGCGGCATTGGTGGTTTTGTCCAAGTCTCTCCGACCCAAACGAAATGGTTTTCATTGCGTTTGCATGCCAGCCAATTTGAATCCCTCAAGATCCCAATGCATTCTGACCTTCAAAAAAAAAAATCCAGCTTGGAAACATTGAACATTGGCTCAAATCGCTCTTGTTTTTCTAGTTGTGAAACACTTACCCGAATTCCGTATCCCCTTAAAAATTTCCACGTGGTCAGACAACACAGCGGCTGAATCAGTATCCAACAAACTGTTCTGCACTCAGATGCCTTTGGCATTATTTCTCGAAAAGCTCTCCTGTTTAATTTCTGCATCCACCATTGAGGTGGATGTCAGTCATATCGCAGGTAAATCAAATGAC